CTTGCTCTTGCTTCTTCTCCGCCGCCGGTGGGGCACTCGCTTCCCCCATTGGTTCATCTTCCTCTACGGGTGGCGGAGTGGCTGTGGAGGGTCCAGCCGTGTCCTCCCGGACTTTTTCACCTCCTTGCCCATCCCGGGCTTTAACCTCACCAACCGAAGTCGGTGTCCCCTCCCGGGGTGTGTCAACCTCTCCCGACGTGTCGGGGGTGCCCTTGCGGGCAGAACTGTCTGATTCCTCGGCCTCCATGGTGGAGGCCGGGGAGGGAGCCCGTTGCTCCGCGCTTGCGCGTCCGCCCAGGCGGAAGCGTGGTAGCCACCCTCAGGTGGCTCCGAAACCAAATGATACGAAAAGTCTGTGGGTGTGGGGCGCCTGCCCTCTTTGAGCCGCGGACCCGCCTCGCCGGGCACCTAGGTCCTTACGGGGACCTAGGCGGGACCACCCCTCCTACTCCCATATCCTTATAAGTATAAGGGTTACCGTAGGACAAGGAATACAATACGATCTTGGGTAGGGCGTCCCCCACACCAAGGGCCAGTAGTAGGGCGTCCCCCACATCAGGCCGGTGCGCGTAACACTCGTACCCGTGCAGGGATTGCCCCCTTCCGCAGGGGGAAAACCACTGCCTCCCCGAGGCCTTTCAATTTGCCCACAAAGTTTTGGGGCGGGGGGCTTTTTATTCCAGAGCCCCTGGCCCGAACGTCCCGGGCCCGAGCCGATGGGTTTCGGCGGTCAGGGTGGGCACGGACTACGCACAAGGCCGATCTTGTCCATCTGAGCCAGTGGGATTACGGAGGAAGGGCTTCCCGCTGATCTGACCAGAGGAGGTTTGCGGCGAAGCTCGTGTATGGGAAACGCTTTGGCCCGGAACCCTGGGTAGGGCTACGCGGGGGTAGCGGGGGTGGCCGGTGCCGTGGCCTAGTGGATGAGCCCCGGGGATGACTCAATGGGGGGGCTGTTGCGGGTGCCATGCGATGTGAAATCGGGAGTATCATGGGCAAATTAGGCGCAGTCAAATCCCCCTATATGTTGAGGCGCCGTGGGAGGCACAGAAAGGGGGTATGGTTGTTTTACCCTTTCTGGTAGGGTTATTATGGGCTAGTTCAACTCATTAAGGGGTGTTATCAAGCTCAATGCATAGGAAATCCTGTTAGCTTTCAGATGATGTTTTGTGCACCACGAATGGTGAGGAGACAGAATGGTTAAGGTTCTTTTCATCGACAAAACTGGCCCGTAGGGAACGAGCCAGGTTAGTCAGAGTGGGATGTGGCTGATTTTGACCACTAGTGGCTACATGTGGCGTGCATGCATGCATGCGCCATGCGATCGAGTGTGCAATCTGCCTGGGTGCCTTCACTCGTCAGTGCGCATCCGCTCTGCACGATGGACGTGCTCAAGACATGCGTGCCGGAGGAAAGTGGCCCTGATAGACTCCACCATATCTTGGAGTGGAGGCGTTCGCAGGCGTTGCCTGGCCTGAATGAAGTCAAAGATTTCTCTGACGAGTTGGAGGAATTCATAACGGTGCGGCTGGCAACGCCAGGAGTGCAAGCCTCCTGGATGAATGTAGAGGGAGAAGTTGAGCTGGACAAGATGTGGAAGAGGGCGAATGGTCTACAGCGTGCCCTTATGGAGGTTTGGGAGTCCTCCCTCAGTGACGACTACACGATCTTCGGCGTGATCAAGAAGGCCAGCATGGATTTCAAGCTGGCCTTGGACATGTCGGCCCTCTCCGCTACTGTGAGGGCTGAGATAATTCATCAGTTTGAAGTGATGAGCTATGCCGGCTTCAAACCGGCCTGGAATGCATCCCGCCGAGATGTTGATGTGTCTACGCTGCATCAGCTGGAGAATAAGCCTGTGGTGTGGCGGGCCCTCAAAATTGTTGAGGATGGAGTCCAGGCTGCCCAACGTCGGGTTATGGGCGAGTTTTTCCGGGGCCAGAGGAATGAGGCAAGTGTCGAGGAAGCATATGAGAAGGACGACGAGCTCTGCTCGTTGATGGAGGAACGGAGGATGTTGGCGAGGCTGCCGCCCGGACCGCAGAAACGTGATCTCAAGTCGCCTGCCCTTCAGCGAGCCATCCATGACTGGAATTTTCATGCGAGGGTGATCCAGAACCAGCGGAGGTTTGACAAAGTCAAGCACGAAATTCAAGACTGGTTTCAGGGACAGGGCTTGCGACCTGACTACGCTCAGGAGCCCCCTCCACCGGCGGAGAAGCATGGCTGAGCATGGCAAGACGGGGGGTGCGGACGCGCAGGGCTGGGAGTGATGTGACCTCGTATGTCATTGATGTGGCAGTGTATAGTATTATTATAAGCATTGGAGTGATCACTGGTGCCCTTCCGGAGCCGTGGGCCTAAACACCATTAGGGGATTACCAAACTGAGCTGAGGGGATATGATAGTCTACTGGTGGGATCTTTTGATTTGGGGATAGGGATTGGATGTACGTGCACATGACGGGGGCCATGGGAGAATCTGAATGGGTGGACCTGGTTGATGGGGTTACCCTTTGTGGGGATCTGGTGGACCTTTTTGTGTGGATCCTGGATTTTGTCGTATGAACATCAGCTGGAATTGTATAAGTAAGCGAGGGTGCGCAATGTAGCCGCCCCCAGTCTGTAAGAATTCGCTGCTTGCGATCGGTGTACCAAGCAGGCCGCCTCGCGAGTCGAGTGTGGGACCTGAAGGTCGGGCGGGTTGAAACCCTGAGTGGGTGAGACCAAACCTCCTGTGGGATATTTCCTAGTGTCTGTGCAGCTGATTCCGGTCGACGAACAACGCCCATGCCAAATTCCAGTGCGCGTACCCCGAAGGGTCATGCCATGTGTGGGCATCGATCTTTACACATGCGCATGGAGAATTGCCAGTTGGGAGGCTAAGAATGGCCCAGTATATTCGTTTGATGTGCGGATACACTAGGCCAAAAAGCTGGGGTGCGGCCCGACAAGTCTTCCATCACGACGGAGTGGTGATCGCCACTGCAAACATGAGAATAAGAAATCGCCCACAGCATTCCATCCGGCTTTGGCTCTGGTGAGCGTGGGCAGCACTGAACCACAATAAGCACGACAAAAGAAACGGCGTTCACTTGCTTGCGCCGGTGCGATGTAGGGAGGATGTCCTCATGAGTGACTGAGGTCAAGAAGAGCCAGCAGCTTAACGCCACACAATACTAGAAGGGGATGTACACAACACTTCACAATACTTCATCGTACTTCACGACGCTTCACAACACCTCGCGGGTCACGGCAAAATCTGTTATTGGCAGGGCACAACTTATCCAAAGCACTCATCACTTCCATCAATTACAAAAATCTCCTTAGTTGAGTTTCGCCCCACACATTTCTGCAGAACCTTGCTCACAAGAGAACAACACCCGCCGCAGATACCTCATCCCAATTCTTTGAGTGTTCCAGCAACACACCTGTCTCACCTGTTCCCGTTCCTCCAACGGACATCCATACTGCCATGCAAGAACTTCTGAAAATGCCAGATTCCATGGCAACCATAGAGCTTAAGAGCACGTATCGACACAGCCTTATTCATCAAACACCCCATCCGAAGCCCAAACTCTCCAAAGCTATCTGCCAATATTTTCAAAACACGTGTGATATGCCCATTACCGCTTCACACCCCTGCCGACACAGCAGCACATTCCCTGAACACTACGAGATGGTGTCAAACAAAGAAAGAAAGCCAATCGTCTCCACCTCGGTACTTTTGTTCATGCGCAACCAACGCCCACATTCAGGCACATTCAGGCGGTGCACATGCAACTCAGGTTCCCCCATCAGAAAGAATCATTGCTTCCTGGGGTATGGCTATTTCCCACCATCCCATTAAGGGTGGCGGACTTCAATGCAAACAACCAATTCTATAGCCCATGATTCAGGACACCCCCAGATCAACATGGAATCCGGCAATGCACAGTGCGATGAGCCTGTTTCTCAGTATTCAGTCCACAGTCGGCCACATCTCTCCGCATCCCACTATACTGTGCAATCATCACAAGGAATGGCAGCAGCACCTGTAGAACTACGATGTACTCTATGGAGAAGTCTTTCCGCAGGCACCGTGGAGTACAATGAGAACAGGACACAAAATGAGCCAAAGAATTCACCCCAAAGTGTCCCAATCTCCCTTCCTTAACTCAGGTTCCACGTTGCATGGTCGCACCAGAACTGGTGCGATCCTGCCAGAGTCATAATAAAATACAGCAGCCATCCAGAAAAGAGACATCCAGATATCATCATATGGAATCCGGGTTCAGAGAAACTTGGTCAGGACCAGCTGACCATTATGTTGTCGAGTTTCCAGTCTTCATTTCCCAGTCATAAACATATAATCCCCAGCCACTTGAAAATTGGATCCACCCCTGCACCCTTTCCTCAACCTCATGCCTCGTCTTTCCCTGTCCAAAAAGGCACTCACAACTGCCACAGCTTGTCAGTGACCAAAACTATAGATCTGAGCTGGCAACCTAGACGTAAGCACCTCCTCATACACTGGCCAAAAAGCAGGGTAGAACATCACTGAAACGGGGTGCCATAGCTCTCCAACAAATTCTACCCACATAATCTTGTTTCCTGAAAATTCAACGACACCACACTCTTCGACTGCAATCCAGCAGGCACCAGCAACAACTGTTCCCTGTTTCGTGAACAATCCCCGCCTGCTTCCCTGCCTTTACCCACGCTCCCCAGATGCTGCTAGCCTTGGCTGCAACTGTAGGGTGCCTGCGACACCCTCCTCAATAGCTCTAACCCTAACTTCATATCCTAAGAGTTCCGTTCAGAGTTCGTCCACTTCCAAACGAGTGGAATTTTGTCCAGGTTTCCCAAAAGGCCCAACAAGCACGCAGATAACCACCAAACTTTTGCCCCACATGAAAGCAACAATACCAGCAGCAGGCGCACGGCCTTCCCTTGCTTCCACCAGGCACATATGCATTCGCCCTTTACTGACTCAAAGCCATTCCACCACCTTGCAAGTCCTCAGCTGTCCTTGCTCAGGGCCTTTGACTTGGAGGCTATCTCATCCAATTCCTTTCTGGCCTCTGGAAGCCCAGAGAGCAGAGTAATCATGTTCAATGTGGACGACTTGCGAGCATCGTGAATACGCTTCAGCTGCTGTTCGTCTTTCTCCTCCTGTTCACCACACCAACACTGCAGATTAGCACTGCCTACATTGGGTAACTAGGTCCACAAGGTTCTGCAAGCACACAGCCGCAAAGACACCGAGGCCAGGTTGAGCGAAGTCACCAAAATATGGCATTGTCTCAGAATCTCCCCCTCCAAAACAGTAGAAAAAAAGGAAGCACAGCAGATGTGACAAAAAGTGGTCTTTCTGAAGTGCAACAGAGATCAGTTCACAAATGTGTACCATGTGTCTTACCTCTGCCTGTTTCCTCAGCACAGGTTCATACTTGTCAAAGACTTTCTGTACCAGAGGCTTCCAGATTCGCACACGGGCATTGATGAACCAGTTGTTGATCTGGGCCATGTCCAGGTTGGTTGCACGGCAAAGTGCAAGCTTCTCTTCGTTCCCTGGGTATGGGAGGAGCATGTGAGAAAGCAGCCACTGCTTCAGCAGTGCTGTGGACTCCTTGGGCAGGTTCTCCCTCTTGCGCTGGACCCGTCTCTTTGGTGGACAGTGCCCTGTGCTGTCTTCCAGGTGGCCATAGCCCTCGGTAAAACTCGGAAGACCAGTGTGGCCCAGTGCGTGCCCAGAGAACACCTGCTATTGCAACATCAAGGGTTCAGCTCTCAGAAGCGCAACATACAATTCCAGATGAACTGAACACACAATGGAGACAGACACAACAGACGCATACTAGCATGCAGCAACAAGGTGAAATTGACCGGCTCACCTGTGGTGCCTGCATAGCCCTCCCAACAGGGCTCAGTCTCGCAGGTATGGCCCTCACCAGGCCGCTCTCAGTGCCAAGGATGCCAGACCTGACTGCCTCCAAAGCCATGGATCTGGCACTCGTACCCTGGGACTGCTGGATCGCAGCCTGAGCAGCAACGACTGCCTGGGCATTGCTGGCAGGCATTTGTGCTATCCCAAACTGGACCTGCTGGTTGACCATCTCCCCTGGTAAAACATTGACCGAAGGAACATCAGCCACTGCAACGGTCTCTATAACCGCCAGGTAAAACAGAACGCTTGATGTTTGCCACACCCCAGAAGCACCAGGAGCCAATTATTAGGTGAAGAAAGGCAAGGGACGCACTACAAGCAGAAGCTGTTGAATGTCTACAAACAATGTGCTTCATGACCTTACTTGGTGAAACTGGGCTGCTCCTGCTGGTTCTTGGAACAAGGTTGTGCAGCTGCTGCCCATACAGGGCATTGTAAGCGACAGTTGCTGGTGCGATGATGTGCTTGTTGTCCAAGAGCATGCCGTTCGAAACATTGGGTGGTACCAATGCTGCTGAAAACTGAAGGCCACTTGTTGGGAGATAAGCTCCTGAGGCAGGCTGGTTCACAGAACCGATCGATCCATCGGCAGAGTGCATCCTCTTTGCTTGGAACATCAGCCCCGGCGAGCCACTCTGGTATTGTCGCAGCAGCATGCTCTTTGCTGTCTGTGACAAATCAACAACAAAGTCAAAGAGCAGCATGGATGAGCTGCAGACATGCATTCCACAAACACGGCAACAAACAAGTACCGAACAGTACAACAAAAACTCACCATCTGTTCCACCGATTCGATAGGGATCTCGGGCCCCCGCTTCCTCTCAGCCTTTATCAGAGGTGTCTGGGGAAGCAGCATCTCCACGTCAGCGATGGTGGAACTTTTGTCTGAGTCAACACTCGTTGAGTGGGGAGACACAACACCACCACTGTGGGTTCCCTGACAAACCAAGGCAGACCTAACATGTCAGCCTTGTGTCCTCAAAGCAATCCAGTGATATGCAGTATCACGCAGCCACATCGGCACCCTTGACAACACCCTGCTGCTTCAAATGCTTGCCTCAGTGCTGTGCAATCAATGTAACAATGCTGTGCAACATAACAGTGCAACAACATAACAGTTCAAGATAACATAACAGTGCTGTGCAACCAACATAACAGTGCTGTGCAATCAATATCAATTGGTGGTGAACATGATAGCATCCTCAACAACCCAAAACGAAACTAACTGATGTGGTTCTTGGACATTGCTGTTATGTCAGCATCATGTAATACTTGCAGAAATAGGTGAAACAGCAGACTTGCAACCCACACAGTCCATTGACACTGGCTTACAAGGCCCCTGCCACAGCCACGCACGAAGGGGCTGCCTCTGACAACAGCTGCAGCACCATGCTTACATTTTCGCAAACCAAGCACACCAGCAAGAAGCGCTGTTATTACACACAAAGTTCCTTTCCACATCGATGCACAGATGAGACAGATATACAGCAATTTCAGCCAGAGCAGGTACTTCCTTCCAACACACCTGAAGGTTGGCAGATGCGACTGTGTTCAGGTGCCCACTATTGACAAGCATCACTCCGGAGCTGCTGGTCGACGGTGACTTCATCACAACCCCTCCGCTGCAGGGTAATGTCGACAGCTGAACAGTTCCCTGGTCTCCAGAGGCCTCGAACGCAAACGGCGACTCCATGGTTTCACTCTTCCAAGCGTGATACAAATGATCAAGACTGGGGAAGCGGCACACAACCGTCTTTCGTCACACACAAGCCCAGACCCGAAGCAACGATTCCCTGCTACAGTGGTGGGACCCGCCACCAGGCCACAGTAAGACAAAGGCTGGCGCCGTCCGACAGCAAGCCCTGAGCGCAAAGAGCGTCGACACCGCGATGAGCGGCAGAGCCTTTCCATTCCACAACGCCACAGGCCCTGAACACCAGCAGTACCTGTCGCCAGCTGGTTCTACAACCGCCCCGCCCCCGACTTGCATGGCACCCCAGTTCCCAGGCATCTCGCCAGATCCACACTGAGCGCGCACCACTTGACCAAACGCGTGTCCGGGCCTCGGAGGCTCGATCTGCAGCAAAAGACACACGATGGTTCAGGCGGCCAGTTACACACACCACCACGCCTGTCCCACCCGCAACGGAAGCGCCAGATCGAGCCCAGGCCCGTCATCTGCGCCAGATGGCACCCTCCTACCCCCAACATCGGGCAATGGCCAAAAAACGACAGCCAAAGCGACCTACGCTCCTGTGGGTGCAACCTACCAGGAGCGATGTGCCTTTCGGGCCGCCCTTTTCCGACAGCGTTCGCAGGTCCAGTGACTCTCCGCTGGCTCCCAATCTCGGCGCGTCAGTAACCATCGAGGCCCGGCGCGAGCCGCTTCCGCACTACGACACCCTCCGGCACGCGCTCTGCGCCACCACCACCCACAATCAGCGCCTCCGGACACACGGCCGCACCAACTCGCTCACCAGACCCCAACAGCGGGCATCATCGCGCCCCCGCGCCCCTAGAATTTTCCGCGATGCCAGCCGAGGGCGCGCGCCGCTGCGCATCCCACACCTCCCCAATGGCCACCCGCAAGCTACTCTGCGGCGCGGCGACTTACGACTCGGTGTCCCCGCGCTGGGCTCCAGCCCCAAGGCACGCCTGGTGATCGTAGATCTCCGCGGCTGCGAGCTAACAGCCCATCAAGCAAAGGTGCTCATTCAGCGGCCTGAAATCTGGACGACATCCACGTCGGAAGATGTGGCGCCATCCCAGACCGGAGCGGCGTGATGAAGGCGGCACGCTGCGGATCAGGGGTTCACTAACGACTCACGTGATCCGATGAACCCCATTTGATGGCCGGCCCTCAAAGCCATCACCGCGATCGCCAGGAGTTCAGGGCAGACGCCGGTGCGCACAAGCCGCACGAACGGAAGTACCGAAATAACGTATGGGCAGCCTGGCCACAGGAGGGCCGGAAAATTGCCAGGCGCGTGGCCGCGGCGCGCTGGGAGGACCCGCGGACAGCGACAACAGCCACCTCCCACACACGCTCTCGAGACTGTTGCTGGGAGCGGGCAGCGGGGATGGCGCTGGTTGCGGGCACTCCGCGACGGCGAAGGGAGAACCAAAGGCCCCGCGTTGCGGCACGGCACAGCTGCCACGAGCTCCCGCCCATCCAGTCCACAAGGAGCGATCATGCACTTACCGCGAGTCGCTGTTCCCAGCCGCCCAAGCTGTTGGGGGGCCAGCGGGCTGGCTGCAGCCCGTCGCTGAGCAGCCCTGAAGCCGTCGCAGCGCCTCCCAAAGGCGTCGGCCCCCTAGGTGTTACTCATTTGCAGGACCCACAAGAGTCCACAGTGATACGACGAGCTGTCAAATTAGCAGCCAGCTACCACAGCGGGGCCCCAATTTTCTGCAGCGGGGCTTCTCCAATGTCGATGCCTGACGTCTCGCTGCGCTGGGCCACCGCGACATGGCCCCAAGGTTTCCAGATTGCCCAAGGCCGCGTTGCATTCTGTCCACAGCCGCCGGCGGCCTGGTGTGCGTCCGTCCATGCTCGGACTCCTAGCCGCAGGTCGCTCCCTGGCCCATGGACGCCCCTCACAGTCCTCTGATCGTTTCGGACATACAATCTACCCCCCACCCCCTTCCCCGCGAAGAAATAAAGTCGAAACGCCGCCCCTCCCCTCACTCCGCCTGCCCCCGCCCCTCCCCCCACTGGCCGTTGTGATCCCCACACGAGCACCATTCCTTCAAAAGCGCCAATAGAAGCGACAGCGCAAAGCCACAGCACCCAGACAACGGGAGCGAAGGTGCAGAGGCGCAAAACAGATTCCCACCTCCCCAGTGCGCCCCGGGCCGGAGCAGAGCGCCCCCTTCAACCTCCAAACACAACACTATGTGGATCGAGCCCGCGCCAGCGCAGCAGAGCGACATCGAACGTTGTGAGGGCAACCCCCGCCTCTCCGCTGACTTCATGAATTTCTCGAGGGGTTGGTGCAGATTAGGCACCGTGTCAGCCCCTCGTTTCGGCCCCCTGCCATCCAGCTGCCAGATGTTTGGAAAAGTGCGTTGAACCGCGTCTGGGGCGGGCATCCCAACAGGGCAAGATTACGCGCTGCACCCCGGGGAATTTCGCCACCACCCCGACCCGATTCGGAGCACTCGATACGACACCGCCCACCCCCCCACCCCCCCTGCAGAGAGAGGGCCCGTTCGCGGTTCAAGAGGCCGCACACGGCACCCCCAGGCACTCACCACTCACGCAGCTTCCTGGCGGACGGTGGCCGCCAGCCCTGCCCACAGCCTGATACCCAAGGGGGAGGACTCCTCGCCCCGCCAGCAGCCTTCAGGGGCTCTGATGGCAACTTGCCACACACACAATTCTTGTCCGCCTGGGGCTGATGCCACCCAGTCTGAGTGCAGGGTTTCCCCTGTTAATCGGCGGGATCCCGCAACACAGCATCGTATTGGGCGCCACAGGCGACCCATCAATGTTACCAACCGGGCTGTCACGCCGGAGCATCAGCGGCATTGTATGGCCTCCGGAGATTACGATCCAGCGTATCGTCTGACATCGCGCCTGTCTACCACACTCCTCATGCCCACCAGGATCCGCGGCAGCCCGACCTGAACCAGCACCTCTGTCATTCGACCGCACGTATGTTTCCAACAGCAATCCGCACCTCCCACTGCAGATTCTCCAAAGCTCCCTGCCATGCGGGATGTGGCCGACAGGCTGAGGTACAGGAACCTTTCAAGAAATTACTAACAGTGTGACATTGCCCTTGGAGGTGGTGTCGCGGCTTTGGTGCTGGTTGGATGATTGCTTCGGGGTGGGCTGTTGGTACGCATCAGATGGTACAGCAGCCCCTTGCGTTAACCTTAGGTCCTGGTCCGCAAGGACAAGGGCCAATGCGATGTGCCCCTTTTCCCCCTGGAGTCCGTGTACAGCCCCACAGCCCGCCCCCTGGCTGGAGTGGCGACTAAAGGGTCACCCAAGAGCGTATTTTGTACCTCGCAAATCACTGGGGACGCTGACTCCTCGTGCGCATGGGTTCATAGCCTGTGACCTTCCAAAACTGTGAAAACCCAACGATGGTCACACCATAAGTAATGTCGGTTGTGTCGTGCGCCGCGTGTCGTAGGGCTGCTGCCCAACGACGCCTTGCCCGTCTGCTTCAGGATGGCTTGAGTTAAGTTCGCCGTTAGTCATTATGCCATGTCACTCAATGACAGGCTCATGACTGACATATGGCGACTGACTGGGTGCCACAACACCATAGACCAGTAAGGATTGATATGGACAGCCGCTAGGCGTTGCCAGAAAGCGACAAAAGCACGCCTTTAAGATGCGATTAATGGGCTGGTGCTGCCGAACCCTCCTTTCGGTGCAACAAAAAGTTGGATGCAAAAATGTAATTATTGACTGCAGGGGACAGCCAGTCAGTGCCCAGAAACGCTGCAAAAATGCTGAGCAATTTGGTCATGATGATGGAAATACACTAAGGTCAAGTGGATGCACGATCATAGACAGATTTAAGGCAGCCATTACTGAAAAAGGCGGAAATATGAGGGAATTGCTGCTCAAAATCTTTGGAAAAGTATTAAGTATGGCTGCAAAGTACTGCAATAGGTTTTCTCATAATTTGTAGTGAAATCCGCACTCTCACTTAAGGAAAATGCTGTCAAAACGCTGACCAAATTTGCAGAAATCAGTAGCTCAATCAGTTTGAGCAGCTGGGTAGTTTTATGGAAGATTGGAATGCGATTGTGGTGGCCATAACCATTTTGGCAGGCCCTGGGATTCTCCTCTATTCTCTGTGATAGCAGGGCAGCAACTGGTATTGACTTAAGGTGATTTGAATGTCATTATTGGGTGTTGGGGGTGGCTGCCGTTAGGCCATCAATATGGCCATGATGTATTGTCATTTACATTGAAAATACATTGCTCTCATAACTAGCGCATTGGGATTAGGCAAGCAGGTTGTTGAGTGGTTGTTGGACCCCATGTTTTTGAAGGGTTGTTGCCATAGACAATTGATTAAAACCAGAAAATTGGCTCATCATGTGTATTATTAAGTTTAAATTTTAGGCTGTTTTTTTTAGCTGCCAAGAAGCGAGAATGTGCCATAAAGTTCCCATCATGCTGACCTAATGAGTATTGCTTGGATTATGGCAATAACGCATTGGGATTATGGAGGGTTGTTTGAGTGAAATGGGACACCTCCATTTTCCGGTGGTTTAGTATCCATTGGATACAAGTTAGGACCAACAGTCAGCAGTAATTGAGAATAGTGGTTATATTGGAAGAGTGAGATGTTAAAAAAGAAAAATGGCACAACCACTTGGCATACAACTCATTACAATCTTATGTAGTATGACTATCTGCCTCTGCCCGTGCATTCCACAATTCCCAATGTACTGGGGAGATGTGGGATGCACCAAGGGACCCTGCATCATATATAGGAGGATGGGGCTGGGCCCCGAGGGCCCCAGGTGTTTATGCTTGTGCGCAACGTTTGTTGGTAGAGCCCGAGCAAGCGGAGTATGGCACGGCAACCAAAGCCCCGAGGCCCTTCGATCAGCTGCAGAAAACAAGGGGTTGTACCCAACCTTTTGCATCCATTGAAATGGTTGTCTTTGGTGGAGAGGAAGACATGGGTGCAAATGCCGGGGAATAGAGTCCATTCAATGGATGCCCCATTTGGATGTGCTAAGTCAATGGGAACAATGTGCTCTTTAGAATGCGGTGGCCGGCTTTGTTGGCGCTGGCATGGTTTTCGGTTGGTTCGCGGCTGATGCACCTGCCGAGGTGCCCGATAGAGCCGCGGGTCCCCCTCCGCCAGATGGCCGGCGGGCTTTCAGGAGCGCTTATATCTTCAGATGCACAATGTGTTCCCAGGCTTGTGGATTGGCCGGCGCGGGGCGCCTGTACGCGTAGTGGGTGCGCGCGGCACCTTGCAGCCTATAGGTGCAGCCGTTGGGAGGCATATCGCGGTCTGTCAACAGCCGCTGGTTTCTAGAGTGTCTGTGGGGTCGCCACACCCTGCAGCATAGCCCTTGACATGGGTTGGCCTCTCCACCGAGATGGGTGGGCGTTTTCGTTTTGCTCGCTTCCTCGGTCGCACGGTGGGCCCTATGATAGAGGGGGATCGTCCCCTGGAGCTTGCTGTATGCGGCGGGTGGTGGCGTAGCCGGGCGATAGCTCGCTGGTTTACGGGAAGACCAGCAATGGGCCAGAACAATTACAAGGGTGACTTGCATACGCCTATTTCAGGACCCGCATGCATGCAAGGCCCAATCGCGGGTCCCTCGCAGTCACATCAAGACATGATAATGTACAACAATAGGTAATGTATTGTAATAT